ACTCCCAATTTCAGGGGAGATAAACATAAAAATCACTTTTCATTGATAAGATGTTTACATTTTATCAATTTTCGACGAGCGTATCAATCTTTATAAATCTGTATTTTTATTTCATTCTTCATGGACCGACATTTGAAACGAAATTAAAAAAGCAACAAAGAAGTATTGATTTTAAGAACCAGAACATTTTAGATTTTTTGTCAATGAAACATATTTTGTCAATAAACCAAAAAAATAACATTTATTTGTATTTTTCATGTGAATCACAGGGTGACAGTCAATATTGATGTGAGTTGCACTTATCAGGATGAAAAGAAAAGATTTTATCAAATTTGTTTTTGTGTATATGGATATTTTTCTGACAACAAAGTGGCTGAGAGATAGACAATTATCTGTAAAGAATTCCATCTATTCATATGTCATGTCCGACCCAAAGAAAGATGAGACTTAACAAAAGCAAAAACGCACCTCGTATATAATCATATTCTTTGGTAGACAGTGCCAACCATCCAACGTAAGTGCGTGACGCGTGTTGGCTTTTAGGTTTCCGTCGACCGTTGTTCGCGAGTAAGAATTTATCATCTTCAAATTAGTCAGAGCATTTATTTCAACAATATTTGAAATATCTTCGTATGTTGATGCAGTTTTCATGAACTAAAGTAGTTTTACTTGTCACAAAGCGATGCGATGTATTTAGGCCTTGTACTTAAAGTATAACATATGTACGGCTCCAGTTGAGCATTTGGAAAGCACTCTAACATAACGTGCGGGGCTTTTTTTCAATGAAACTATGGTGATGAACTATGGTGGTCTTACATACCCAATGACATGTCAAAGTAGAGACTTGAAACAAGAGTTAACTCAAGATTGAAGTTATCTAGTGTCGGTACAATTCGTCATAGGCAATTGACTGCCTATTCATTGAAGATAAAATTCCATGTTGCCTTTTTTATCTTATATTTGGTCATTATCTTTACTGACGAGATATTTGATAAATGACATCATCTTACGTGGTCATGTGGGCTGAAGGGAGGGTGACGTGAAATATATTTACGGTTTCGATGTTTTTTGAGAGACTTTGTTATTGGTTCGAGAAGGTTTACTGAGTCATTGGTTAGAGAAGGTTTGCAATTAAGGGTGAATGTTTTTGTGCGCGTGAGTTCAAGTGATGTGTGTGTTCTGTGCTGCAGTGTCAGGGTGGTTATGAGAGAGTGTAGTTAGGGAAGAAATGTGCGTGAGGTTTCATGAGGCCGAGACCCTAATATACACCTCAAAAACATGTGACAAGACGGACAAGGTTTATCAGAAATTAACTTTCCAAGGTGAATACACTGTCCGTTGCACGTGATTTACATGATGGAAGGAGCCATTGCACGTGGAGAATCGGAAGGGGGTCATCATGTCAATAGTTACACTTCCTTTGATCGCTATCTCTCATACAATGCACGGAACATGCGAAACAGCAGGGAACCGTCATCTCATTCACCAAACAAACTCGAACCAGGTGATGCACTACCTCCAAAATGGAAAGAGACAGACAAGAATCCAACGATGTATTCAATTTACAGATGTTGTTTACCCTGCCGGTCCCTATATCAGCTTCATATATGACCTGAAAGTTAATACTCTAGGAAAAAAGTTGTTTTTTGTATGGTGTGTTTTCTCCAGTTACACGTAACGTCAAGCATTGTTGTTAACTTGTTTGGCGCGAGTTCGACTCTCATATCTACGTACAAATGGTTGTTTTCTATCATTTTGTTTTATATAAAGGAGGAATTTTCCTCTACTGCAGACACGAAGCGTTTCCATTCCACTGTGTAGACAACACTCGCGACCCTTTTCTTCAAAACACACAATTCGACCTGCTGCATATTTAATCCGGATCATGACATTTTTTTCTCAGATGTATCACTCTTTGTGTAAACAAACATAGCTACCATCCCACTAACCATCTCCCTTAACACTGAATGAATAAATAAACAAAAATCGAAAATAAACAAAAATCGACAATAAACAGAAATCGACACTAGGACGTTTCTTTCTTTCTTTCTTCATCGCGTTCTCGATTCCTTTATGATTGGTATTTTATGGTCACATTATTCCGTTTGTTATGACATGTCACACATATAAAACCAGAGCCCGGATAAGATGTTCAGATATTCTAATTCACACATATAGAAACTAAAAACAGGTGAGACTCGTATCATCCTGGTCTTTCACGGAGGGGTGGATAACACTACCATTGACACTATTAGATCAGAGAAAAAGGGCGTAACCAGGCGACCACGTGTTGTTAACTCCCTCGGTACTCATGACACGTGGCGCGAGGGAACCATGTGGAGCGCTGCGGAGGAGGCCACTATGTTTACGAGAGTACATGCTTGTAAAATCATAATTTGGGTGTGATATTATTATGCGAGCACGCGACTTCGTTCAACAGATGGTTCCGATTTGGGAGAATATTACAGCTTTATAGATAATGAAAGTAAATTGATCCATTTAAGCATAGTTAGCTTTGTTTGCTTCAATACAAGTATTTTACATCTATATATATACCCTTAAACCGAACATCGATTTTTCTGTGACGTAACGCGAGTATCAGTGTTTATTCAGGCGTGACGGTTTGAATTTGTTTGATAGATTTAAACTCAAATTTTCCACTATTTTATACATTCATCTGTTAATTCAAAGTAAACATTTTTGTATATGCTTAGAGAAATTTTATCACGCATAACAAATTTTTTTTCACTTAAGTGAAAAATCGTGGCATGAGACCTTTATCTCATTTTAGGAGCGAAGCTTCGCATTCTTAAACTTCACAAAATAGTTAGATCTTAAAGATGTACTGATTAAATGATTTTCATGAAAATTACGGAAACCGTTTTCCCATTCACATGGGCAGATTCCGAGAATAATACCCTTTTCAGATTTTAGATGTAAAACCTCTTTTCTTGATGAAACTTTTGTCAAAACAATTACAATTTACAGATGCAGAGAAACTTCGAGATAAACAGGTGTTCGACATAAGAGGGCTCGTTACATACACACTTATCCTGTTATCCTATTTAGATCAAAAGTACCGGAATTCGAGATAAACGGATAAATGAAAATAAATCGATATACATGATATGATCTCATGATTAGAACTGCAATAGTTCGTATTAACCCCGTTTCATACCCCGCCGTTCCGGATTGTCGCTTTTCTTTTCTCCGATATTTTGACAATTCTTGTAACAACAAGAATTTCTGAAATATCAGTGTTTCATTTGTTGAGAAAATAAAAATACTGTTGTTTTTTCACTTAGTTCTTTTTTTTCGCGGTGTCTCGCTTTGACGGGTTCCCGTAGCTTCTTTAGTTTACCATCCGGTTGGCTTTTATCTTTACGCTGGTTCTCTCCTTAGTTTCGTTTTCGCTTTTCGGTTTTTATTATTATTTTTTTTATTTTTCACTTTGGTAGGTTTTCGTTTTTCTAGTGTTTCGCATTGTGGCTTGGGGTTATTTCTTGAGCAACAGCAGCAAATTCATATCTAGCATACCATATTTCTGACTTGCTATAAAAACATCTTCAAATGATGTCTTTATTTTCCTGATTCATGTTTGGATAATTTCCAATGTACTGAATGTTTTTATATGTGTCATTGTGCGCTTCTGTCATTTTGATTCCGATATTTATCTGAAATGATGCTCGTTGCTATGACATAACTATCGTTCCTAACTGTCGTAAATCATATATAAAAAAAATGATTCAATAATAGACAATGATGCGTTTTAACACAAAACAAACATTTACGTAATGGTATGGCATTGTTTGTAAAGATGTGTTATCTAATTTTACGTTCGCAAACGAGAAAAAAACCCAGAAAATGGCAAATATTGGTTTTAGTTATAAATTGATGGAAATCAGTACCAACGATAACGATACGAGATACGTCTGGAGAAGAGTGCTGTTAAAATGATAGCTGGGTTGGCGCAAGGCTCGTGCATTAAAACGTAGTAATGAACCAAAACTTGTATTATCTCGCTTAATCTCAACACACGGGTATAAACATAATTGACAGCTATTCAGTTATGCAATGTACAAATAATGTTAGTGTTTTTTTTTATAAGAATTGTCAGCTTAAACGACTAAATTCAATTATCACTGACGTTAAAAATGATCCAAAAATAAGGAAAAATAGATACGAAAGCATGCTAAAAAAGTCAGAATTCGAACATTGAAAGACACTTTTTTCCCATTCATAAACCGTCAAAAATCAATACATGCAATTTACGAAAAGTACAATATCGTTTCCGGAAATTGAATGTTTTTTGTATGAAGTTGACCAGACATGGTAGCAACCCTTCACGTCCCTTCGTTAAGATAATGGACTCGAGATTGCTTTGATTTGAATCATTCCAAAGAGGATTATGGGGAGGAAAGTGTTAGAGTCAATTAGATGTTTTCACATTCGTGCAAACTCATCATCATCGTTATAGCGCATAATCAACTCGGAGTGAACTCTATATTATACTTGTCCAAAAGCACCTTCGCTTGACAAAGTTCCAACACGAAGGCATCGCAGGAACACTATCGTATAAAGAAAATGGTCTTGGCATTAAAATAATAGGTATATAGATACTTCGTATAATTAAGATAGTTTTCCAGAGATAGTCCACATTATGATAAAATTGAGGTCTAATGTAGGTCCCTTGCTTGGGCATTTCCGAAATCCACGAGTTGAGGTCGGTAAACTTATCGTCTATACGAAGAAGATAGGTATGTCGAGGAAGAGGAACTCTTCAATTTAGAAGTTAGGTATTCACTCATGGCAACAGCTGGGTTTCGTCTTAAATATGTTATAGTCTTGTTGTCCGAACAATTTAGTCGGTGCACAAAGATATTGGGAAAAGTCTTCATAACAAAAACTTAATTAATTGTTTATGAGATAGAATATCAAAAAATATAAACACACAAATATATCCCAGTCAGAGATTCGTCAAATGAGAGACCTGCACTTACCTGTTCGGTCGTTTTTTGTCGCCGCACATGGTGGCGATGGATCCACACGAGGGGAAGGTCCGGTTCTTATTAAACATACCGCATTGTATTGTGGTAACCTCACTTGAAGAATATTTATCAGCACAATTCACGTCACACTCCCTAAGGGTAAACTACACTTCCTCACACAATCCCACAGTGAACCTGTTACGGATCAGATGCACTTTCACTGCACATCTTTTGTTTCATCTGCACACTTTTATTGTCTTGATTAATTACTCTTCTTGGTGATTGTCAGGGAAAACATCCGAAGGAACTGTTGCACTTTTTATTTGGCACCAAACTCGTCGTCACGTGATTGCCTCTGGGTTTGTATAGTGCCAATGAACTAAATTACATATACAGTTGAATTCTCGATGCTGCTCGAGTGTTCAATTTACGATGATAATCCAAAAAGATGGTCACGAACACATGTTTTTTACAGTTAATTCTATAAAAAAAAATAACGTTGCCACGTGAATTAATTAATTTAATGTACATAAACCAGTTACGGAATAACTCGATTTTTATTCCATAAAAAATATCCCAGCAATTTCGTGAAAATTACTGCACGAACATAGGTCGGTTCAGATATTTCAGACAATCTTATTCAGCATCTTACTACAATCCGTATGCAAATATCCAGAGAACTATATCAAAACAAATTATGAGTTGACAAATTGGGTTTTCCAGATCTTCATCTCAATCCCGTAATGAGACTGGAATCCTAGACACACAGAGTCAATGGAATTTCCAATTTCTAAGTAAGGTGTCTGTCTAAGTACAGTTTACAAACAACCTGCTCCGAATATGACAAGAACTACACTCGCCAATCAACAAGTATTTGACAACTGTTGCTAAGGTATTGCAGAAAAGTGTTTCATATGATGTTTGAAAAAGATGCTAAATAAACAGATCCTCGTGCTCACGAGACGCTATCAAGATACGGGTCCAGCGTGTGGATCACGAACAGCTACCGTATACACTAATTAGCCAGGGCTGTGATTGCTCGATCTCACAGATGTTTGGGGAAACACCTTGCGTCTAAGATAACATCGCTGAAGGGTCCGTCGAGAATAATCACAATATGACTACCACGAGGGTTGGAATTTGTGACTAATTAAGCTGGGGAATTGATAAGTGAAAGTTGCATTAACCGGTCACTGATGATCTTCAAGACGATTCATCAAGTATATTTCAATATCGTTCTCAACAAAAAGCATACGGTTTACCTGTCATACACTTAATTCTGGGGTCGAGCACTCCGTAACAACCATGTCATGTACGTGCATCAGCGAGAACACGTGCGCGGTGATGATCAAACTGTTAATAGATAGCTTGGTACAGTCCTCCCCGGTACCCGCGTATCTCTGTACATGCATTAAGTCAAGTTGACATCGAATGGCGTTATCGCTCCTTAATCACCAGTCAAATGTACGTGCATATGTTCGTGCGGGCAAACATTTAGTTACGTCCACTTCGCTGCTCACACACCCAATTTGCACGACATGGCATTCCCTGAGAAACTTATTTCCTCATTTTTGCATGTAATAGATCCTTTCCAATGATACACATTTCCGTATAGTAATGCACTCTGCGCCGGCACGTGCCAATAAATGTACGTGCATAAAGATACAACTTGACTAATAGCTAAAATGGTTCATAAGTCTCCGATAAAAATAAACCTACCTCTCCACTTGTCATGATATTTCTCTCTGTAGCACATTTCCGCAATTCACTCTCCAGAAATTGATTCCAACTAATATTTCACACGGCTAATGTTCCCCATATATACCATTACACCCATTGGACCGGAGTGCGTTCGATACCTCCTTATTCTATATCATAATACACAGGTCGGCCCGTTCGATTGGGAACCGGTGCCTTCTGTTTGTTGTTTGTTCAGTTTCAGCAGCCGAGAGAAACACAACACCAGTGTAGACAATGCACATGTAACACGGCCCGTAGCGTCAGTACTACATATACACACTACCCAGACGTCACACTACTACATATATCACGGTGTATTTAACAAATTAAATTCGAAGTACCTCTGTACTTGTAGTACAGTAGCTCAATGGATCTATGTCACATGATATACTTGTTGGGAAAGTAAACAAGATGGCGATACTAGTCTTACACAGTGTGGAGTGAATTAGGTAATAACAAGGTGATTAATCGAGGTAGAGAGTTATGACATTATCACGCTGTTCGGCAGTAATGTAGTAACATCAACAGACCCAGACTCTGTGATAAAGTCCGGCTAATATAACCTCAAAATGTCAAGGGATTTCGACTCTTGATAAATAGTATTGCTTGTCTCGAATGGCAAAAGCTATTCTTTATCTCGAATGGCATTGGATCACGATTAATAGTACCGTTTATTTCGAATGTCAGTTGAAATAAAAAAGACTAACATTTATTTCGAAAGCCAATACAACTGACTTTGGTCAATCATCTGTTTAACTCGAATGTCAATGGATCAGTTGAATCAACAGAACTCTACTTTCGATTTGATAGATATTCTTTTTTCTTAGAAGCCAATACACTTGGAAATACTTTCAATGAATATTGGATCTGATTAACATCACTTTTCTTGATTGCTGGACTGACATCCCAGTCAACAGCCATGGTCATTTTTGAGGAAAGATATTGTAGCTGCGGGTAGTCATTTTACTGAACACCACACGGGAGGCCTGTAGAATGCCATTCATAACGATCGAAGTATTTTCTACAGCAGATTCCCGGAAAGCATAAAGCATCACGAGCAGAAATCCTCGAACAACGCACGTGCTCACTCGGTCAAGGTCGCAAATATTACGACCTTGATTTTGGGGGTACAATTGTACCTAGTTTTACGTTCCATAAACCTTTGCTAGAACACCGGGGAGAATATCTTCTGAACCGTGTACTGGTATGTAGTATTGGCTTAAAAACAGGGGAGTTTCTACATGGACATGGCTCGTTAAAGTTTACTTTAGTCTCGCCATTTTCAGAAACCACAAATAAGTAATTTTCCCACCGGGGGCGAGTCAAAAAGGATTGCATATGACAATGACATGTATGTTTATTACTTTCAAGGTTTGTGTGAGAATTGATTTTGTCTTGCAATTAATTAGAAGCCACAAAATTAATTAATGATAAAAAAAAAGAAATCGGTACCGAGAAATGTACATGTTGTTGTTTTTAATTGTTTATCTATCTATCTAAAATTTCCCTTTCTTGGTCTCCTGAGAGATAATTGATATTTCGTCAGAACATGACATAGGATCTGTTATATAACGAGCGGATTGAATTAAATATCAATTAAGTTTGAAATTAACACACGTATACTCATTTTATAGATAAAATTTGTCGTCGTCAGAAAAAAAATATGTTCCTTCGTTTATTAAATTTGAATGATAAATTAAGTTTTTATTTTCGTTATAGAATATCTCCTAATTCCATCAATAGAAAACCCGTCTGTATATTTTCACTGTTAACGTCGCGACAATGTCCGGTAATCGAGTTTTGATGCATATGCAACCATTTCATATTTGATTACAGTGATATCTGGAAGATGTAGAACCATTTTAACATTATTCAAGAAATGGAAAGATTTTGTCTTACAGTTCATTTAAATGTCGTCTACGATTAAAATTTGTCTGAAATCGTTTTGGCGTTGATTTCGGAACAGATCAGGTATTATACTGACTGCAGCTGCTGAATAAATCAGAGATATAAGACGTGGATGTCTCGAAGTCAATATACGTTTTGTTTTTGATGTTGTTTTAAGATACATTACAGATATATCTATGTTTCTCTTAACGTTCTGGACGTCTCCTTGAAAACAATGTTTTTCGTGATCCATCTGTTATGAAATTGCAATTTTATCTGTGATTCAACCAAATGATTTAAATAGTTATTATATTAACATGAAAACAAATTTATGTTTCGCTCTGTGAGGTCAATGTTTCATTTTTGCATCCGAGAATAATATCATTTGAAAAAGAATGCATTAAGAAGAAAATGGCGTCGTTTTATTAACTTAACCCGTGTATCGAGTTTAGTAACGCTATAGAATATAGTACTTTACACGCGCTTTAAAGTTTTTGTAATGAACGTGATTCTGTGGAAATAAACTTCACTTGTGACACTATAGAAGAGTTCATATTCGGCTACTTATTCAGAACATGCATTTGACACTAGATGGGTTTTAGGATGGGGGTAACTACTGTACTTGGGAAGCAAAATGTTATAGGTGTTAATCTCAGGGTTAGGTGGTTAGAAGAAGAAGACGTCTACCTTGAATTGGTTAAAAGCATGGGTTATGAACCACCAACAATATATCAAACACTTTTTAGTGCAATTTGAACATGGATATAATGTGAAACAGTTACTACCTGAAGGTGATCGTAATTTGATCAAGGGGACGCACATCTATATATAGACATATCATGTATCATTTTGAACCGCCTTTCTCGTGACTTCACTCAAACCGTTGATGTATCATTTTGAAGGAACTTTTACAAACATTCAGATATCATTAAATTCAAATAATCATATTTCATTATAATGTATGCAATGTATTGAAAAAAATCATGGCATATCGGAACTCTTCAGTAACTTTCGGGTAATAGACGTTGTAGTTCTCGTTTGTGGCAAATGAAGAAGATTATCGATATTTATACCGGAAATCTGGGTGAACAGAAAATCAAGAAATCAAATAGACAGGAAATCAAGTAAACCGCAGATCAAATAGATAAACAGGAAATCAGGTAAACAGGAAATGAGATAAACAGGAAATCAGGTAAACAGGAAATCAGGTAATCAAGAAATCAAATAGACAGGAAATCAAGTAAACCGCAGATCAAATAAACAGGAAATCAGGTAAACAGGAAAGGAGATAAACGGGAAATCAGATAAACAGGTCAGGTAAACAGGTCAGGTAAACAGGAAATCAGGTAAACAGGAAAGGAGATAAACAGGAAATTAGGTAAACAGGTCAGGTAAACAGGAAATCAGGTAAACAGGAAATCAGGTAAACAGGAAATCAAATAAACAGGAAATCAGGTAAACAGGAAATCAGGTAAACAGGTCAGGTAAACAGGAAATAATGTCAGGTAAACAGGAAATGAGATAAACAGGAAATCAAATAAACAAGAAATCAGGTAAACAGGAAATCAGGTAAACAGGAAATGAGATAAACAGGAAATCAGGTAAACAGGAACTATTGTCAACAGGAAATCAAATAAACAGGAAATCAGGTAATCAAGAAATTAGGTAAACAGGAAATGAGATAAACAGGAAATCAGGTAAACAGGAAATGAGATAAACAGGAAATCAGGTAAACAGGAAATCAGGTAAACAGGAAATAAGATAAACAGGAAATCAG